GGGGGGGGGCGGGGGCCAGCCGGCCGGCCCCTGCGGCCCCGTGGCTGGCGCCGGGCTGCGCTCCCGGCCGTGCTTTTTCTGCCGGCCCTTGCGGCTCTCGGTTAGAAGCGGTTCTTTAATATCGCCCTGGAACCTATTAAACGGCTTCCCAGGAATCGAGGCTGACTTGTGCCCCACATGGGCCCAGCAGACGTAGTTATTGCCCTAGAATACTTTTTTATACCTTTCGTGCGAGTAATCGAGGTATTTTTAAACTTGTGTGAGCGAATAAGTTTGTTTTTTCATCAGAACACATAATTAATGGGTCAGTTGTAACCCGTGAATTGGAAAAAATTGATAAGAGCAGAAGTAGCCTGGCAGAAGGGAAACTCAGTAGGATTGTATTTAAAAAAAAAAAACTTGGCTCTAAACGGAGTTTTGAGCTCTCTGTAGGAATAATAGGTTTTGTTTTGCTGTTTTCATTTTTGATGGTGTTCTTATGTGCATTTAATGATCTTTATTGTAATTGTTTTAGACGCCTGTCCAGATAAAGGAATTTGGTGCTGTAAATAAAATCGACTTCTCCCCGGTTCCTCCATATAACTATGCTGTCACAGCCTCCTCAAGGGTAAGTGGCTTTTCTGAGGTTTTTATGTTCTTGTCCTTCAGTTGGTATCATATGAGTGAACTTAACCTCTTCTTGTTTTGCTAGATCCACATTTATGGTCGTTACTCTCAGGAACCAATCAAAACGTTTTCTCGCTTCAAAGATGCTGCTTATTGTGCCACATACAGAGATGATGGCAATCTGCTTGTTGCTGGCAGCGAGGAAGGTAGCATTCGCCTCTTTGACATTAGTGGAAGAGCACCGCTGAGACAGTTTGATGGTCATACTAAGTAAGACAGTGTTGGCTTTTTTTTTCTTTGTGTGCATAAGCTTGTTTGGTGTATTTACATTTGTCTGCTTTGAATGTTGCTGAACATCTGAATGATACTGATCTATGTTGCTTACAAACGTAGGTTTTACTGAAAAGTAGATTTTAAAATTTAGTTCAGAATTGGAGTGACTTTTTTAAAAATTCTAAGTATGCATTGAGTACATGGAAGAATAAATACAGTTTCTAATTCAGGTAGGTGTCTGTTAATATGTTCTGTAGACGTAGTCTTGTGACTGCATATTGCTGATAAGCATGTTTTATTTGATGCTGGCAGGAAAAGAGTTCTAAAAAGTGGCTAAACAAAAACAGTGAAGAAATACACAGGGAAGAGCAGGAATCCCTTACAAAAAAACAAAACAGAAAAAGTGTGTGATGGTGGGGTGGGGTTGGGATGGGGAAGGAGTTCGAAGAGGAGTTCTGATGGACCGGTGAGGAGAAGACAATGGTAATACTTGGATTAAACAGATTGCTGTGCTATGGCAGACCAATGCGTGTTTTGTCTATCTAGAACAACAACAACAGACCCCCTTTCACAGGAAAGCACACAGGCAGACCTTGAGAGTGTTTCTATTTGAGGTCTGTAGTTGTATATTGGGTATTATCTTATGTCCTAACCACAGGATAGGTTAACGTAGGTTAACTGTAATAACATTTAGGGTATCTGTGTTTTCTGTCAAAGTAATTCTCTGTTGCGATGTTACAAGGATAATGCAGATTTAAATAGTGATTTTAAAGGACAAGAATAGTGTCCAAACCAGTCATACTTAAAACTCACTATTATACATTTTCTCTGAAGGACAGTGCTAGTACACAGACCTTTAAGTAACAAATGCAGAATTTACAGCTTTTGAATGAGCATCTAGTTGACCTGTAAAACCTTTAAGGCAAATCATGTCAGTGCTTAGGTAAGCATCTGTCAGCATGACCCTTTTCTGGCTGGAAATAGGAAAACTAAAGTGTTTTTAACCTCTAAAGTGGGGCTTTCTAATTTCCAACAGTAAATACTTTGCACTTTTAAGTTAGAGAGAATAATAAACTCTTCATACAGACGAACTGTTCTAGAAACAAGTATATATTTTAACTTTGGATATTCTTTGATTTCTAGAGCTGTTCATGTAGTGGGCTTCCTGTCTGATAAATACCGAATATTTTCTGGTGGTGATGATTATTCATCAAATCTGTGGGATATTCCGAGTGCTACAGAAATCGTCTCCTACAGTGAACATACTGACTATGTGAGATGTGGCTGGGGAAAGAAAATGAATGGA